CTATGACCACCCATATTTGCCTTCAAACCAGACTCTTGTTGCTATTACTGGCTTCACCAGAATCACACAGATGATACTTTTTAAACTGGGATTTTGTAATTAATTCTGTTGCTAACCCACCAAAAAGAAGAGATCCCATTTAACCTGTTTTATTTCCACTGTACCTGCAATGACAACTTAAATTAAAAATTGTGCATTTGTCCACTAATCTGTGGACAAAAAAACCTGGACAAAACCTCCACAAACTGGACACACAAAAAAATTTAGGCATGTAATTCAGTGAAATCAGTGGTGTTTACACATAACTCTTACTGTCAAGGCTTTAACCAACACCACAAGCAAACATAATTGAAAACACAACTGGGGAAAGCCATTAAGGAGCTGAGTCTTTTATGCAAAGATATTTGGAAAAGTAGAACATCAATTTAATGGATGTTGTAATTGGCGCCACTTCCTGCTAAGAGTATATTGGAAAGTTATACCTACCTGTTAGATTGTACTGATATTGGAAGCAATTCTGGTTAAGAATACATGGCTTCATTTGTGAATCTTCAGGGCAGGGCTTTGTATTGACAGAAGACCTTAGCACTTGTCGAGTTCGGGTTTGCATAATATTCGGATCACATACCTATATTCAAAAATGATGGACAGGACAAGAGACCCTAGTAAATCATAGAGACACCAACTGCCTGGGGTTGTTACACGCACATCCACGGCCATACCGAGCTACACTATAATCACGCTTCTGTTCTAAAGATACTTAAAAGCATATGAAGGAAAAGAAATGTGGTTCAAAGGTAAGAATCCAATAGCACTAGAAGTCATCTTTTGTCCACCCTGATTCAGTTATTTTAGGCACTCCTATACTATATATGTCCAACAGGATAAAGCCTGTGCCATTTTACTGTGCTCTACTTTCCACTTCTTTCCAAGACTCGTAGTAAAATGCCATAGTATGGAATAATGGGACATGATTTCTGGCACAATTAATGTATTTTTAAGTAATAACTGATGTTACAGCAAACTGTTTATTTCTAGGAAGGACATTTGTAATTGCGCATCAGCTACGGTGCTTACAACAAGATGGGGTGACTCTTCAAAGTATGTGATACAAATACTGATGTCCCACTGTCTATAAACCATTTTCATATGAATATGAACTAACTGAGGCTGGTTTTCATTTGTGTTTGTATATCACAGGCACAAAAATTGTTTTCAGCAGGCCGCCATCCTCACTCAGCATTGTGGCATGGGGCTGTTTTCCTTTCCATTTCACTGCAGACAACAGTGACCAAATGTTTTCAGCCTTGCAAGAAACGTCTCCTTTACATAGACGAAAGCATCTCTCCATCCCCACAAATCCCTTCCTGCAGCACTGGAGATCTCTTCTCTGTGGATGTCACATGGAGGCGTCACCTGGCTCTGCCTCCACCTTTCTTAAGTTTTTCCCTTCATTCAGGGCTATAGCATAAGCACTGGCTGGACCATGTGGAACACGGTGCCCCTGCAGTGCCCCAACCCTGGCTGTCAAATCCACATCTCATGCCAATGGGAATTATTTCAGGAGGAAGGAGTCACAGCGCCAAAGATTAAACGCCCGTGACACCAGGCAGAGCTAAGGTGAAGAGCACTAAGGATTGCTGCTCTGTCTCATTAAACAAAATCACCAAAAAAAAGTCTAAATAAGCTTATTCTGAAACTCGGGTGATTATGGGAACATGTAATAGCCATTTCAGCTGCAAGGCTGGGATAGAAAAGCAGCCCCAAGGGCAGGGGCTCTGACCTGCTAAACTCTGGCAGAGTTTTCCCACAATCTAATATAGAGCAGGAATGGGTGTGTGAAAATGGTTGCAGCAAACCTAATGGTAATAAATCCCTATTAAAGGTATTCACAGCCATTTACTGAACAAGATGACCTATTTAATTCCTAACAGTCTCTCAAAAGGACTAAAGATTGCTCAGGAACAGAAAAGAAAGCCAAAAGACAAATGCATATAGAAATACGTTTTCATAAATGCTTGGGAATTTAAAGCATGATTTTTCTACAGAGTACTTTAATTACTAAAAAAATTACTAACAGTTTAAAACCCCAAGCTTATGCTCATGCAATGAACTGTCTGCAAACACTGAACCCTGCACAGGTGAAAGTATGGATAATTCCTGTATTGTGAATATTAAAGAGAAATGTAATGGTGATGCAGCATAAATCTAGATCTCAGACTGCTGTAAACTGGATGAGTTGCACAGATGATAGCATATCAAAACAAAATAAATATTAGGATAAATAGGAAAAAAGTCTGGTCTGTTCTCAAAATACATTGTCAGGGCCTATTTTCTTGATATTTACACTGTGTGAAGGAAATTCTATTATGTCATTGTTGACACAGATCTTGTCAAATCACTTTAAATGGTAATCTTATTTGAATATCCGTGGTCATGTAAAATACACAATTATTCTTAATTGTCTGAAAATTAAACCTATGCTAAGTGTTTACCAATAGTTTACTGCCTTTTCCACAACTAATCTGATTGTTCATCCTCACGATGCACACTAATAACTTAAATGATTTACCAAACAAAACAAAGTAAAAAAATCAGAGAAGGTATTTCAGCAGCTACTCCTGATGTTTCTCTGCATTATTTTACCAAAACGAAAAAAATCAATGAGTGTTGTGAAAGAAGTTAAGTCTGTGCCCTCTCAGAAAAACCTGCTTTTGCTCCTTTTAAAATAAGAACCTACAGACAGAAAATATGCATCATTTGTAGATAAGTAACTTCTTTTAATAAAATAGTATTTTTCCCCTGTCTTGCACACACCCCGTTGTGCTTGATTACAGGGCATTGACGCAGCTCAGTGCTGCACATGCTGTCATACAGCCACACAGATTTCCTGGCTAACAGGACCATTTTCTCTCTCAGATGTCCTCCTGGTGGGTAGCAGACCAGTTTAACAGCCGTGACTCAAAGAGGTCAAAGTCTATCTTGTGCTTGCCAGGATCCAAATAAACGACGGGTTTACTGCAGCTCAGAAGCTGGCGTCCTCACTGCGCTGATGAGCCATGTTGTTCAGAAGCCAGAGCTTGTGTGATAAGCTCCCCACCTTTACCAGTTTTGAATAATAAAGAATCTCTGTAGGAAAAGTGTTCATTTAATCAAGCTGAGTACACGGGAAACATGCAAAAATTCAAAGTCGGCAAACTGTAACTAATATCCTGTAATATTATTTGTTGAATTTCTCTTTACGTCAATTGAGAAGTCAATTTAGTTTTATAATTGATTTTCTGGCCTTACTCTTTCAAGTTAACTATGTAAAAAATTGAGCCAAATACATATGGAACTGAATAAGCGGCAGGAGGGAATGACTTGCAAAGAAAAAGATGAAAGCTGGGATTTTCAAAGGAGCAAGAGGGAGCCGAGTATCCAGCTACCCTAGAATCTCAATAGGCTTGGGTGCACAACTCCTCTAGGACCCCTCCAAAATCCCCAGCTGGAAAAATTAAATATATACAACATGGCAAAGGTTGAGGAATGGCTTGGCAGACTCAAAGTCATTAGGGAATGTGAAAAGTCATTAGGGAATGTGAACAGCGAAAGGTAAAGAGGAGGGATTGTTTCCAGTGGGGAGATGCTGAGAGTATTAACTAGCAATAACAAAGAGAAGTGTGTAAGCTGCACAGCAGGAGGAAGATATTATGTCACCATTGTCACCACTGCCATCACTACCAATGGTACATCCTAAATTTGGATCTTAAAAACTACTGAAAGGGAAACCAATCACCATCAATGGCAAATTACATTTTTAGGAGGTGGGACAGAAAGAGCAGTCAGTAATATTACAGAAAAAGCAGCAAAGTAAAGAAACATTACTTGAGTAATTAAAGTAAGAAATTATCATAGAATTAATTAAGATTTGGGCAGGATTACGGAAAGGGTTGATTCTGAACATTCTCACAAATGAAGAAAATGACAAAACCAACTTGACTGTTCAAACCCCCTTCCATATGAAATAGTGAAGATGCCATTCAGATACACAGATCAAGACAGGATCTGCTCTATCCCACTAGGATATATCTTATCATAAGCATATCTTCTTATCATAAGCATATGTGAATCTACAATTTTGGGGATTTTAAATAAATAAAACCCACTGTGATTCAGCAATCCTCTACTGAGTATCTCCATTTACAACTCCTCTCTTCCCACTGAGTGGATGCTATACTTTCAAAGACGTTATTTTACTTCCTACTGTTCTATTAATAACTACTACTTTCACTGATCATAGATTAAGCTTTTTTTAAAATTATTTTTACATTAAGTCAGATATTACCTCCCGTAAGGTAATCACAACTGGTTTGTGCTCAGCATTAGCTGACACTTCCTCCACAGTGGAAACTCAAGGAAAGAGGCAAAGGGGCAGCCAACAACACTGTTAAGAGGTTACATACAGTGGAAACATTTAATAGTGGGAGTTCAACTTTGACTTTTATTTTTGAGATCATCTCTTTATGGTCATGTTACTTATCTTTATGCCTGTGGTTATAAATCCCATAAATAATTTCCATAGTTGGAGAATTTGGTATGTAACAATGGGGTACAACTGGGCGTAACGGCAAATCTCCTTACGCAGAAACTGAAAGCCAAGGTGATGGACTTAGTTTGCAATCATTTATTAAGGTAGATTTAGGCACTGACAAAGCGAGGCGATGGTTGAACTTAGTACAATGCAGAACCCCGTGCAGGTGCTGAAGCTCTCTGCACACACACACAGAGCTTGCTGGTACGTGCTGGGGTCCAGATGGAACAAGTCTTGCACAAACCTCATGTAGAGGAAAGAGAAAAAGAAGGCAGGGTGAAATTCAGCCTCTTGCTTGGGTCTCAGCTCCAGGGACATCTCCAGCAAATTGCAGTAAGAGCAACTCTGGAGACTCAGCACCTTCACCTGATCTTTCCAGGAAACTGAGGCTCTGTCAGAGGGCTACCAGGAAGGACAAGTATTTCTTGCTGCAACCTGGGGACCATCAGAGTTTAGTGCCTGCTTAGCAAGTGGAAAACCTTTGTCCAATTTCTGCCTCTATTCTGGGCAACTGAAACCCACTTCTACCACCATCCAGACTAGAAATAGATTAAAGATTTATGGATCAAAGGAAGACAATGAATATGGGTGCCAACTGGCCATGAATATGAAAGGAAAAAAGTCCTAAGAAATGGAAGTAGCCGTGATGCACAAAGATCGAAGGTCTGAGGCCTAGAGAACTCTATGTACCTTCAAGGTTAGGTGCCAACTCATTTTGGCAGTTAAGTTTTACAGACTATGTTGGATTTAGTCCAGGTTCCTTCCTGATGACTGTAAGCAACGGAGTGTATAATTCAAACATGTGCATCCTTTGGAATTGGTGATAGGAATGGCATTAATTACTGGATGGAAGTAATAACAGAGACCTAATTCAGGTCACACATTAATAGCCTACAGCAGTAGGATGTCATATGCAGACACAGTAAGTTTCTTTACGTGTATAACTATACTGTCTCAGCCTTCTTTATCGTATTAAATCACACCATTTCCACTATTCTTTTCTATGAAGTGTGAAAAAGTTGAGCTAGAGCCAGAGATCTATAAACCAGATTATA